CCACATATGTGTTTCTTATTACTGATATTTAATTATGTTTTTGCTTTTTTTAATTAGAAAAATTGACTTAGTATTACTTTTAACTAAATCTCTTTACTTCAGTGTTTTCCTTGTAAACTGTAACAATGAGAACCAAAACAATAAAATGTTCTGTGGCACAAGAAAAAAGAAAAATCTCAATAGCTTTCAATGCCTTCTGGTAGAGATAAAATTGCAATGCTGTGTGTTGCAAAATATATCTTCACTGTTGGAAAAAAAACCTCTCTGTTTTACCATCTTTAATTTTTTGACATAATTTCAAAACAGCAGCTGCTGTTTACATTGTGCTAAGATTTAATGACAAATGGACCAATAGAAATGCTTCAAAATTGCTTGGAATAAAGTCTCTTTACATGAACCTACATTAAGAGTAAAGTGGTTTTTTTAGAGTTAATTTTTTGGAGATGTGAGTTTTTGGTCCGACAGGAATGATATTGAACTAATTAGCTCTAAAATACTTAGTCCGACAACAGTATACAAATTGTGAAAGGTGGGGAAAAACAGTATTTTTGGATTTATCTTTCAACCTTACCGTGTTGCAGTAATGAGAACATGGTCACTGAAATTGGAACATTTTACTAAACATTCGATTATAATCAATGGGTCTCATTCACCAACCATTTAGTTCATACAGTTGTATGCAAAAGTTTTAGCACCCCTGGTCAAATGATACATTTTGTTGATTTTCTAAGTGAAAACATGTTAACATGTATGTTTTTCAATATGTTACACTCAGCAAAAAAAAAGAAATGCCATATTTTTAAAAAATGACATTTAATGGGCCTACGTGCTATATTTTTCTTGTATTTTGTCTTTTCTCTGGGTCCATTTGTTACATTTGTGTGGGTTTGTGTAGGCAAAATAGTCATGATACATTTTTATGAATTATTCATTATTTATTAAACAGGCTGTTTTTTGTTACTGTGCCTTTAAGACTGATAGATGTAAATGCACTCTGTTCTGACTGGCTGCCCTGTATTGCGCCTCATTCAAAATGCCTTCTGGTTTGAAACACTCCTTATAACTGCAGTATGAATGGGCGGAGCTAAACTGCTGTAGCCTGAATAGGTGGGTAAATGTAAATGCACTGGTTTTGTGATGTCATGAAAACAGTGAAATCAAAACAGGCTGTTTTTGTAGCTTAGTTTCTATATATGGACTAAATGGACTGGAGAGTGAAAGGTACCTTTTGAAACTTTAACAATGTTTACATACTGTATTAAACTCATTCAAAAAAGTGAGCACCTGTATTTTTAAGAGTGCATTTGGTGAACTACGATAGAACTACAGCCTTTCTGATAACACATACATACATACATACATACATACATCATCTAAACCGCTTATCCTTCTGGGTTGCGGTGGGGTTCTGATAACACAGCCTTGAATAAATTAACATAACAGTAAATGAAATTGCCATATTTCGTATTTGGTTGCAAATCATACAAAAATCTGATATATAGCAACATATTGATTTCCAATATATGATGTATATTTGCATATATGAACATCCCTCATATACAGGTTAGATTTTGTCATATATGTGACATATGTCATGTGAAATTGGCTGTTTTCAAATATATATTTCAGCTGTATTTCAGCAGTTACAAACATTTGTGTAACAGGTATGTTTACAAACATATGATAGAAAACATTATTTATATATGGATGGAATATGTTACTCATATATGCTAGCTGCATGTTAGTTTTTTTGCATTTCATTTTGATTTTTTGCTTTAAAAAATCTTTCGGTGTTTGTATCAGACATATATCAGACATACCGTACATGTTTTATGCATATATGTCCAATATTTGATCCTTACATATCTGTACACTACATATATGACCATATATTTTGAAATATATTCCTGACCCTTAATGATATGCATGCATATATTAGGCCATATATTAGATTTCCAAATGGGATCCTTTGCAGCTGTTGGCTGTCTGAAGCTTGTAGCCCACAGACCTCACCAAATCACCTCTGATGATGCATTGCCAGGATTCAGTGGTTTTCAGTTCTTCTTTGTTTTGGACTCTTTTTGCCTTCAAACTTCTCCCTGGTTGGGTGATTTAGCCAGTCGCTATATATGCTCAGTAGTAAGTTTTGGGTCATTGTCCTCCTGCAAGATGATCCAAAAGTTTTTTGGAGGTTTTGAGACATTTAGTTGGATCTGAGCTGTTAAGGTCCTTGTGTACACTTCAGATTTCTCCCTGCTGCTGTTGTCGGCAGTCAAACCATCCATAAAGACAAGTGAGTCAGTTCCACTGGCAGCCATACATCCTACCGGGCTTTCACAGATGAGATGGTGTGCTTTGGATATTGAGTTCTACAGTGCAGGTTAATCTTCATCTGCATCCCATCAATTATAGAAAAACTCTGCAAGCCTCTTTATGAACTTCTTAGAAAACTGTAACCTGACTTCTCTTCCTGAGGCTTACCAGTTACTTGCATCTTGTGGTAAACCTGCTGACGTCATGCTGGGTGTTTTCTCCTCAACATATCTATGCCTACATCCTGGGTAGTGTTAATTTTGTATTTTCTGTTCAAGAGTGTCTCTTCATTATTAGACAGACTCTTTGCTCATCCACCATTTCAGTCCTCCATGGTCCATGAGCATTTGTTATTTGCTAAAGCAATTCTTGAGAACAATCTTGATTCTTCTTCTTCTTAAAAATTGATTTGGTTGCAACCAGTTAATTTTAACAGACCTAATGTTTTGGTGTGAGGTTGATTTATTCTCATGTTTCAGCCTCTGGATAGCCTGCTTTACTGACATGTTCATTTTCTACCAATTCTAGACCTTTTGTTAGCACTCTTGTATGTGAAATAATGTCGCAATGACACACGGCAGAGAAACAACTGAGCAGCCAGCTATCCAGTTATGGTCTCCTAACATGAGAAGATTACATATAAAAACACTCTAGTTCTTACCCACTCAACATGCACATGTATCAAATTAAAGCTGATTCTGCACTTCTACCTCAGAGACGTGGTTGTTTCATTTCAGTGCGCTGGATAGAGTCATTAAATTAATAACATGCTAACAGTGCCACAACATCTGATGTCATAAATAAGAGTCAAAAATTAGCTAATGAAAATCTGCTATTATATATACACCATATGGCCAAAAGTATGTGGACACCTATATATTGCACACATATGAGCTTGTTGAACAGTCTCCACTCATCTGGTAAGGCTTTCTGCAACATTCTGGAGTGCGTCTGTGGGACTTCGTGTCCATTCAGTTAAAAGAGCATTTGTGAGGTCAGGCACTGATGTTGGATGAGAAGATCTGGCTCACAATCAATGTTCCAGTTCGTCCCAAAGGTGTTCAGTAGGGATGAGGTCTTTGCTCTGTGCAGGCCACTGGAGTTCCTCCAAACCAAACTCATTAAACCATGTGTTTATGCCTTGCTATGTGCACAGGAGCACAGTCGTGCTGGAACAGAAAAGGGCCTTCTCCAAACTGTTGTCACAAAGTTGGAAGCATATAATTGTCTAAAATGTCTTTGTATGTTGTAGCATTAACATTACTCTTCATTGGTACTAAGGGCCTAACCTAAACCCTGAGAAACAGTCTCAGACCATTATCCCTCCACCATCAAACTTTACTATGCACAATGATAGGTAGCATTCTCTTGGCATCTGCCAGACCCGGATTCGTCCATCAGACTGCCATATAGTGAAGCATGATTCATCACTCCAGAGAACACATTTCCACTACTTCAGGGGCAGCGTGCTTTACACCACTCCAGCTGACGCTTGACACTGTGCATTTTGATCTTAGGCTTGTGTGCAAGCTCCCAACGCACAGTTCTTGTGCTGATGTTGCTTCCAGAGGGAGTTTGGAACTCTGTAGTGAGTGATTCAACACCAAACCTCTCAGTGGCATCACTCTGTGAGTTTGCGTGTTCTACCGCTTCATGGCTGAGCTGTTTTCGCTCCTAGACACTTCCATTTCACACTAACAGCACCTACAGTTGACATGGGCAGATCTAGCAGAACACTGCAGGAAAGGTGGCATCCTACGACAGTTTATGTCCCTGAGCTCTTTGGTATGACCCTATAGTGTCACCTTAATCCACATGATGTGTAAGTGATGTCATTTAAGCCTTCAGAGCAGCCAAATTCAAAATTTGTTTCTTTTATTCAACATTGGTATTTTGTTCTTGCCATCTGTCCACACTATCACATAAAATATCCAAAAAAACAGCTTTTTTTCAATATTTACAGAAACATTATGTAACTTACAGTACAAACACTGATGTTTCAAGGACTTACTCTGATAACAGGGATTGTGGCAGCCAGTTTAGCCTGAAATAGTCCACTTTTCACTTTCCTATCCCTCCGTCACAGCTTCATAAAGTGATGAGGTTGTACTTCTCTGTGTTTTTGGCACCAACAATAAACAAACAAACAAACAAACAAATAAATAAATAAATGCTTACTGATGTGGGAAAATCTTTTTTTGTTGTTGTTATGAAAGCAATGTGATTAAAAAAAAAAGAAATCAATACTATAATGGAGGACAAAATTTGATTTCTTGACATAAAAAATGTTCAAATTAGTATTTTCCATTGGAATGTTAATCTCATGGACTGGATCTATGGAGAACAAAGGTCAAAACAACGAAAACTGTGTCAGTTCAGACGGTGAAAGACAAAATGTTGCCAGCAGCAAGACAATTCATAAACAGTAGCTATCCTAACATTTTGGTCCACCAAAACTGTATTTTGTATTTGTTATGATGTTGCATCTTGCTTTTCCTGAGCAACTACAAAAACATCACCAGCCCAGTGACAAAAATCTCAGACGACGTGAACTGTATATACACAGTTTGTGTATTTATATATGAATATAATAACGGAGAGAGAGAGAGAGAGACCGATCGAGAGACCTCCACTTAGACCTCAGAAACTCTACTACCTGCTCGAATGTGCTGCGCTGTGACGTCAGCTGCCCCAACGCCCTGCAGTGTCAGTGATTTTAGACGGAGCGCTCGGAGCACAACTGCCCCGAAAAACTCACCCTCTTTCGGATTTTGGTCGAAACGTTTCTTTCGGAAGCCACAACACGTCTAAAACGTGAACTCCGGTTTGTGTGGCTGCTGAAACAACGGCAGAAACATGGCGGGGTTATGTTCGGATGCGCGGCTACCTTTGCGGCTGTGGGAAATCGCCAACATGGGTCTCCCCTGACTGGCTGAGTGCTGCTGCTAGTGGCTAACGCTAGCGTTTAGCTCACGGCCAGCCAGCAACCTCTGGTGGGACTCACTCAGCTGGTCTCGCAAAGAAACACTAACTCAGCACGGCCACACTTCTTTTCTCCGGTTGTGGTTGTAGGGTTTTGGGCTCGTTAATTCAGAAACTGACGTTAGGAAGAGGCGCTTGGTTGGTCGCCGGGGTGGAGTTGCAGTTCAATTATACATGCAGTGGCTAGCTAGCGCTGATGGATAACTGGACCGACAAGGCTCTCTGATTAACATGTATTTCATCGCGTTTCTGTCCGATACTGCATGCTTTAACGTTACAGTCCGCTGTATTAAAATGTGAAGTGACGGTTTAAGCCCGCTCCTGTTTGGCTGTATTGTCTCTTGTCGCGGCGGATGTCTGTGCAGACACACGGGACAGTGCTGCTTCAGTCGGGCTTCATTTGGGAAGCGTTTAATTTAACAAGGCAGCTGGCTGGAGAGCTCATTAACTTCATTCTACAATTTCTGAGGGCAAGCCAAGTTGGGCCTAGGCCACCAGAGAACGTTAACTAGGTCTGAGTTTAGTTAGCTGGCTAACTAGTTATGCTACCATGGTAGCTGCTTCTTATAAAAGAGCTGTGCTTGTAACCTGGGTTATCATTTTAGCTCGCTAAACATGTTTTGGGGCCAGAAGGCCGTTGTTTAGATGTAGAAATGGGGCTCGCTGGCGAATACAGGTCTAGCGTTTCGGGCTGGTGGTTAGCTTAACTTGCAACCCGCTTTTTGTGTTTGGAGCAAATCAGAATCAGAGGTCGCCTAGCTAGCTTGGTTGTTTGCATATGCTTGTACCACAATGCGGCTTCTCACATATTCAGATGTTGTGTCACTGATGTTAGTCACCCTGAAGAGGAGCAAGTTCCTAAGCTGTTTGCTTCAGAATAGCCAGCCAGCCACATCCACGGCTCGGCACGGCTAGGCTAGGCAGCTAACTGGCACTGAAAGGTAACGTTAGCATGGCACTGTCAGACTTGTTACATTTATTAGACCTTGTTTGACGGTTGTTTACAGTTGCTGGAGGCAGTGCTGAAGTGTAGGATTAGCGTTGTCTGGTGCCATAAACTGGCATCAACCGTTTCTTGTCCTTGACGTGCTGGGGGATGCCCTAAAAGCCCCAAAAGAAGCCGTCATGTCGAGCAAATCATCGAGCAAGGAGAAGAAGTCGGGCCTGAGCAAGAAGCTCTTCCGAAGAGGCTCCGTGCGCTCGGTGGGGAGTTTTATGAGCAGAGTCTTGAAGACTCTCTCCACCCTCTCCCACTTCGGCTCGGAGCTACATGCGGCGGAGGGCGACAAGGACGACGGAGGCTTCACGTCGTTCAAGAGCGACGGCAAGGGCTCCGTGACCTCGGACGAGAGCGACTGCGGCGGCTTTCTCTCGCGGGACAAAATACCCGGCGTGGCCGGCTTGAAGAATCACGGCAACACCTGTTTCATGAACGCTATCCTGCAGTGCCTGAGCAACACGGACCTTTTCGCCGAGTACCTGGCACTGGAGCAGTTCAGGGGAGACTCGACGACCGAGGAGGAGAAGCCCAAGACGAACGGGGTTCACCTGCAGAGGAAAGGCGCGCAGAGCCGGGGGGAAGTGACCGAGCAGCTGTCTAGACTAGTTAGAGCCCTGTGGACATTTGAATACACCCCGCAGCACAGCAGAGAGTTCAAAGTGAGTCTGATCCATGCTTGTTTGCAAGTATGCTTCGAGGAGTTGGCAGCATTGTATGTATTGCCCAGTTAGGTTCTGCAAGTCAGCGATCTGCTTTTCACAAGTTAGTCAAGGCGATAGGACTTGTGGTCTAACGATAGGCCATAGGTGGTCTCCCACCTTGGTGAGTTTGGTTTCAACCCCAGTCTTGCCCACGTGATCTAGTTAATGAAGACCTTTAAGAGTATATGAATATTAGAGCCAAGTGTGTTGGAAAGAAACTCCAAAACCAGGATTGAATACCAGAGGTGGGAACAACTCACTAAGTTGGCTTGCAGCTAGTAAGTCTCAGGTTTTGACACTCGAGTTCAGAGTCAAGTCTCAAGTCAATACAAGCAAGTCTTAAGTCATGAGTCCTAAACAAGTTAGTTTGCATTCTGCAGCTAATTTAGGGTCATTTCAACACTGAACACCAAAAATGATGGTAACAGTAATACAGCCTTTTAATGACAGCATGTTAGTAGTGTATGGCTGTATATTAAGTTTTTTACTTACTGTTCCAAATAAAACACAAAGTACATTTTACATGGATAACCATGACAGACCTAATGGTACACAAAGAGTAGTGCAACTACACATGAAAAGAATCTTCAAAGTACTATCAAAAATAATTAAATTATATTTGAAGATAATTTTCTGAGATCTTCAATATTGGGAACACATGATTAAAATAAAAACTAGCTTAGCACTAAAACTAGCTCAGCGATCTAAAAGCAGCTGCTGGTTGAATATAGATATAGAGAACAGAAACAAAAATGACCAAGCTGAACAAAGTGAACTGGAAAAAAACAGCAAAATGACGATGAATGACTAAAGTGAAGTTGCCTTTTGCGAATTTTCTGTTCCAAATTGGCAAATTCCTATATGAAGCTGGTGAATAAAAAGTCAAATTCAGCCTTGCGGTGAATGCTGTGCTTGCTTTAACGTTAGAAGCTGTTAAAATCAGTCAAATAGAGAGAGCTGTGTTTCTTTTGTTTTGCTACTTTAAGGAAAATGGTCAGTTCACCTGGTAAGTTTCTGCAGTAAGACTGGAGTTTAAGTGCTGAGCTGCGCTTACTGATGCTGTTGATGCTTCGCTTGTTTCTAGCTTATAGAGGTGAACTTGAATTCTAAGTGCTTCACTTGTCTTTTGAAATAAAATAAGCTGAGCATAAGCACAGTAATAGACATTTGACGACGTTACTGTACATCAGAATTACAGCAGGAAACGAATCCATTCACGTGAAAAGTAAGCGACTGTGTAGAGTCCCATCTGCAGTCAGACTCTCTCCACATTTCTTCCACTTTGGGTCTCGAGTTTTTCTAAGTCATCAGGCTCAAGTCCCAGTCAAAGTCCTAGACGTTAGCATTCAAGTCAGAGTCAAGTCACAAATCTTTCTCGATTTTGTCGAGTCAAGTTTTAAGTCATCAGATTTGTCACTTGAGTCTGACTTGAGTCCAAGTCACATGACTCGAGTCCACATCTCTGTTGGATACTACAGGAATATGTCAAGGTGACACCACAAGCTGAGTGGTCATGACTTATTATTATTTGATGATTAATTGACCTGGATGACTAGAAACCTTCACAGGTGGCCTGCATTTCAGCTCTGAAAAGTAGGCAGGTGGTCTCTGATCTCCACATGGGTTTTCAAAGTTTTCAGCTATAGAATGTTCAGTTTTCTCTGTGTTGTTACTGTGCAGTTAAAACTTGAATTGCTTTTAAAAAGAGACAACAAACTGGCAAACAACAAACTACAAAAGTTCACAGCTGGATCAAATATCTTCCATGCTTTGCTTTGAATATAATGAAGGAATATATTTTTAATCTTATGTTCAAAATATGTGGAGTTGTTCTGCATGGCTACATTTGATGTATTTTGTTGTTTATTTGTAGAGTGCAGTGTCAAAGCGTGCTATGCAGTACAGGGGAAATGCTCAGCACGATGCTCAAGAATTTCTTCTCTGGCTTCTGGACCGTGTGCATGAAGACCTTAATACCGTAGGCCATAGCAGGCCTTCTATAAAGGTATGCTGTTACGTTTAATTGTGGTGCCTGAAAAGGTGACCTCAGGCTTCTGTGAAAAGTGATGTGTTGCAGTATTGCTTTTACTTTTAGAGGTGGTGAAATGTACTGGACTGTTTAGGCCAAATGCTGATTGTGTTAGTCTAACATAATGTAATAGGAAGAATTGCAATGATGCATAGTGATCGAGTTAAAAAATCAGATAGGTGGTAGGTGGCTAACTGTCCTGGATTTGGAGACCAGCCATCCTCAACGCTGTTGGACCAAAGACATTTTGTTTGTATTGTGTAAAAATGGCATGGATTTGAATTTACATTGAGATCTCAATCAGCTGAGTAGCTGGCAAAAGAGCCTGCCTGCAAGTCAGGCTGATTTAAGGTCTAGACTGCTGTGGAACAACACCCATAAAACAGAGCTTCTTATCTGCCATCAATCTGAGTGCACCCAGGACAGAGGGCCTCACCGTAGATAACTTGTTCTGGTTTTGCTTTGTTTGATTCATGTCCTGCTAGCTGTTGCAAGAGTACTGGTGTATTTATCAGCCCCGTGCGCTCAGTTGTCCGTGATGTCCTGATCGGGGTCAGGCACCTAAGAGACACTCGTGTGAGGTCACTCAGGCTGCATGATTCATCCAGGCAGATGCTCTGCTTCCCTGCTGTTTGTGCCAGGGAAACACTAGGCTGCCATGCTGGAGTGCCAGGAACTTTTCTGGCCTTAATGAGACATTTCTTCTAAAAGTCCTGTCTGCCTTGATTGCATGTCACTGATGTGCTGAGGAAAAAATCATTTCTTGATCTGTCTGTTTATTAAAAGCATTCTTCATCTAATTGGTAGCAAAACAGATCATATTGGTAATATCATTTCAAAACCAAGAACTGTTGGATATAGGTAATGGTTCCAGAAACAAATGTGTCATACAACTAGGATACTTATGAAAAAGCTTTACCTTTATATCTAATGTGCTTCAGAAGTTTTCAGCAGTGACTGATTTGTGACATGCCTGGTTTGATGATTGCTAATGGCTAGTTCCCACTGTATGTGTACTGCAGAGGTGGTAAAGATTTTATGTTGTGATGCACATTTTAATACATATTTTTGGTGCAGTTAAACACAGTGTGAAATATTACAAACTTCAACCAGAGTTATTCTTTTAAAGGGGGACTTTCTGCATAATTGTTTTCAAATAAACAGTCATCCAGAGTGATTTGATGTGTAGAAAGTTACAAACTCTGATTTCTTTACAGTTGTTGTGATAGGAACCAGGGGTTGCGATGTGTACAACCCAAGTATAGCCACTTAATTTACTATCCAAAAGATCAGTGAACCTACATGAGTCTTCTGAGTGTTTATATGTAATGTTGATAAAGGTGAAATAGTGGTAAATATAATGTCTTTGGGTACTATTTTAGCTTGCAGGTATCTTTCCACCATGAGTGTATTTAAAAATAAATTAGGCCCAAAACTAGCATAAAACAATTTTTACAACATTTTTATACCTATTTAATGTAATAGTTGTATGCGTTGTAGCTTTTAGAGGCATTAGACTCTTCGGATGTTTGGTTCCTATCACCACTGTGGTAAACAATTCTGACTTGGTAAGTTTCTCTATAACGGGGCATTTGACATCCAATCACTCTGACTTTGTTTACACCTTAACCATTTAATTATGCAGAATTTGTAACAAATCTGTCAAAGTTCTCCTTTAAGTTGTGAGTTTGAATTTTTAATTTTAATAATGTATGACTTTTCTCCTGTTCACATTGCCATAGCCACCCATAGAGGAAGATGATGGAGCACTTGAGGGACCCTCACTCCCATTGTCAGCTGGCTCCTTTGTCCAAGAGCTTTTTCAGGCGCAGTACAGGTATAGCAGTGTTTCCTTGTCCTGTAGGGGTGGACAATATTTTAGGACGTTTTCACAATACATGATATGCATCATAAAATTAAGTTTTTCTGTATTTAGTATCTCTCTCTCTCTCTCTCTCTCTCTCTCTCTCTCTCTCTCTCTCTCTCTCTCTCACATACAGATCCTCGCTTACCTGCCCTCACTGTCAAAAGCAGAGCAACACTTTTGATCCCTTCCTCTGCATCTCTCTCCCCATTCCGTTGCCTCACACTCGGTAAGTAAGCACCTTCACGTTGTTCCTGTATAGTTATGCGGGGCAGTTAGGACTTATTGCTCTTCAGGAGACTCGTGTGCAATATGAGAAGGCCTGCCCTTGAGGCGCGCTCGCTTTGTACTGTGTTCTGTGGTGTAATAAAGCACTGCATGGGCTGGAGGTCTTAAAGCTAACCTTGTTTTCCTTTCATTTCTTCTGCACTGGTTGTGTGACTCAGATTAACACCTTGGGTTGGTGCAGAGTTGGCATAGAATGCAGAATTCCTCTCTTACATGCTCTGAGAAGAGTTAGGATGTGTACAGACCAGTTATGCTGTAAACAGATCAGTTGACAGTTTTGATTGTAAGTGCTGTGGACTAACAGGTTTTAGTTGAAAACACATGAGTCATTGTTTAATTGTAGCATAGGACTGTATCTTTCACGATAAACCGCTCATCTGTAGCCTAAGGTCTTATCGTCTTGTGCTGCACATGTTGGGTGGATCACTGTAATCTCCACTTGCAAATTAGCATGTTTTTTGCTAAACACGCCTATTGAAAACAAAGTAGATGTGAGTGAAGCCTGGGTTTATTACATCTTTTGAGAGTCTTATGGAGGAAAAAAATAGTATTTTTCTGTCCAAATAAGATGCTAAATGGTGCCCCCTTTCCTTTCTGTTCTGAGCAGTGTCGCTGTCTTCTTGTGCTACTGGCTTTAGTGAGTTTATGTCTCCAGAGGCATAGAGACACTATTTTAAGCTTCCACTGTAGTGACTGATCAGAGAGAAGACTCTGTTCAATGCACATTCTTTTTTTAAGCACCCTCAATTTATTACCGCACATTAATGATTAAAGATGTCATATTCTATGTATTAGCAGAATGACAGAGATGATTTACTGCACACTCCCCAAACCCTCATCTCATACATCAGGGATGATACAATAAGTCTAAATGATCAGTACATGAAAAGAATGGCTAGTATAGCGGACATCAGGCCCCTGTTTAAATTACACAGGACATTCATATTAATTATTAGTTCTCAGTCATGCATCTAGCTTATAGGGTGTGAAGTTCTAAGACTCCCTCCCACAGTGGTCTTTTTGTATTCACAGAGTCTGTCTTTCCTGGCATGTGTTGGTGGGCTGAGAGAGGTAATGTGGGGCTTATGTTCAGTTACTTTAAGAGAGGTCTGAGGGGAGAGGAGCTGTGGGAGCTCAGAGGTGTGACAGAATCATTACACAAATCTACTGAATTTGTAGCTGTATTATGAAGGAGTGTATTTTTCTAGAGCTGTTCTCTGTCACTCCTGTTTGTTTATGCTGTGTATGCCAAGCAGGTCTTCAGGTGCTCAATGACTTAATCCCTTGCCCCTCCTGATATTATAAGAGATGATAAAACTGCTTTTTGTTAATGTAGACTGGATTTTATGAAAAGATTATGTACTGTCTGTCAGTTCCAGTGCTGTGCTGGTTGGGTGGTATGAGTCCTATTAGTGAAGAGCAGCACTTGATCTGTGGATTTCTCTTACTGTATATATGCGGGAGGCTTTTGGTGCATACTTTGATAAATGTGTATTTTGATAAGATATTGATAAATGTAACATTTGAAATGTGTCCATGTTGTCACAGATAGGACTGATTTTTGTTCAGTTTGTTTTCTATATCTATAGTAAGAATTTAGTTTCACAAAAAACTATTTTTGTAAAAGTCTTAAGTTGAAATTTTTGGATAGCAGAAAGTTTTGACTTTGGATAGCAAAGAAGCACTGCATAGGATTTAAGAAGCACTGACATATATGGCACATAATTTAGATAGCCAGTCGCTGGTCTAGATTTTGCAAAAAGCTTGCATAGTAGTTCACTGATGCTGATAAGACTGACTACTTAGGTATTGAAATTTGGTATTAAATAATGCAGAATGTTTGATAGTATGGTGAAGAAATTCAGTCTATACAGTAAAAGTATAGAGTTTAGATACCCTACCCTAGTCATGGTTGCTGTAGATTAGCTCTTTAACTCGTGGCTGTGTTGAAGACCCTCTCCAGACATAAATAAAACCCTTAAAAAATATCTCTGTTAATCAGAATTACATATTTTTAAGTTTTTCCAAGAAAAAAAAAAACCCTCATGCCTTAAGTTGTTCAGAAGTCTACACCTTTGTCTTCATTCAGTATGTGCTGATCTGTGAACATGCAAACAGATGTTTGCCTTCAGGGCTTTCTCCATGTTCCATATGTACTTGAATTAGATAACCTTATCATGACACACTTTTTTTGTGAACACCCCCAAAGTAGTTTTTGTCAATCATCTTAATGAATATAGTCATCATCTAATTCTGCAAGCTTAGCTATCTGACAAAGTTTTAGAGTAACATTTGCCACAACTTTCTTCGTCAACATCCTGAAGCAGTATAAAGTGTCTTGTCAGCATTTTACATGAATCATCATGTATCTTATAAGGCTAACGTTGTCTAACGTTATCTAGCACATTGCATATTTGTTATAAGGCTAATGTCAGCTTCTTATTCGTCAACTTCTTGTTCAAATTTTCCCATTCCACCTTAAATGGTGCAGCAGTTACATTCAGAGCCTCAGGCCTTCTTGTTAGAATTTTACTGTAACTGCCGCACCATTTAAGGCGGAATGGGAAAATTTGAACAAGAAGCTTCCGAATAAGAAGCTGACTTCAGCTCCGTAGGTTTGTTGTACACAGTCAATGGATAAAACACAAGAAAAATAAACTTACCGGTTGGCTCATACAAAAATACAAAAATTTTATTTATTTTACTTTTTTTAGTAAAATTTACAAAACAGTCCCCTGGAAAATGGCTACTGGCTACTTTTTTTTTTTCCTCTTTTTTTTCCTCAGATTTTTTTGTTAACATATGAGGCTCACAATTTCTCCTTTTTTTGCATCTGAAAACATGTCTCTTCCATCCTTTTGGTATAAGCTTGTAAAAAATGACATGTAGCTAGCTACACCTGACTCTGATACACTTCATTGCACATATTATTAGCATATTATTATGCTAATGATATGTAAAGCTTCACCCCGTCAGGGGTTCCTTAGGTTTGTGAAGTATGATACTCTGGCTGTCTGAATCTGCCTTTTTGAGACTGCCACTGTTGCACTGCAATTTCATAGTGGAAATACTCAGCCATGGTGTTGACTACCTATTTCACTCATGATGTGACACTACATGGACATGCTAACAAGTGTAAGAGCTTGATTTTTACCAGAGGGCATCTATAAGGACTGCTCTTAATGACTGTTGCTCTGTGTCCTTCAGGCCCCTGTATGTGACAGTGGTCTACCAGGGCAAGTACTCCCACTGCATGAGGATCGGGGTGGCTGTGCCCCTCAACAGCACTGTCTCCAGACTGAGAGAAGCTGTGTCGCGAGAAACCAAGATCCCACCAGACCAGGTGCCCTTTTAGAAACCTTTGAACAGCACTATCCTGTGCGTTTAAGCTGGGTACAGATAGGGAATGGAAAATGACAGGTGATGCATTTTGTCAAAGGCCTCTATTCCTGTAGCTACTGTACTGAATTAAGTGAATATTCGTGAAACACTTCCGTGAACAAAAACCCTGCTTATATATCCTGTATCTGCTTCAATTCTTTTAAGTTTTGACACTCTCATTTTGTAGTCAGGCCAAGTCCAAACCTATTAACTAGCAATGGCTTTGGCAAGAGAGTTAAGTGTTTTCTGTTTTGGAAGCTGGTTTACAGTTTAAAGCAGTCCAAAACCCCCAAACTTACATACTGTAGCTTTAAGGAAACATTTAGAGACTACTGTAGTCAGGAGTAAAGTACACTACAGACCTATGTCAGTTGAACCAAAGAAAGAAATTTGAGCCATTTTTCAGTCTCATTATTTGAATTTGAGTGTAGAGTGACTATACTCTTTGTTGAACCTAAAACTGATCAATTGTAAATTTACACTGTCTCTTACTGTACACCTAGCTGCACTGTCATGCCGAACAATGGATGAGGGCCAGTTGATTTCACCGTTTATTATTATGCAATGTAAGGTAGACTGCAGTTTGTTGCAGTAAAAACGTACGCAGCCCTGAAACATAAATATGCAGATAATCACAGATTTGCTATCCTTTTAAGTATTATAACGTGTTCTGCCTTGTATTTACAGTATGTTAATGTCTAAGCAGCTTCAGTGTTCAGCAGAGTTTACAATCCGAAATGAACATCCATCAGATGATGGTAAAACTTGCTAGTTGTCTAGAAAAGAGCCACACTGGAGTCTTTACAACCTGGCTCCAAAACAGCCTTTATATTTCCCCTGAAATATTCTGAGGTCTTACTTCTGACAAGAATCTTGTTTATTTTCCCCTTATTTTTGCTGATTGGTAATGACAGTTTTTTTAATTTTGAAATGTCACTATTGTACCACTCAGGATGCAACAGTGAAATTCTGAGGTCATATTTTAGAGCGCAGTCTTTTGGCTTGCATTCTACTGGATGTCTTCTAGTATAAATTGTATTCTATTAGTGAAGATGGTCTACATTTCATTAAATGTAGGTACAGTTAAACCAGATTCACTCAACCTGCTCTCATTCTTATATGCTTTATAAAAATTTAAAGAAAGGAAAGAGAGCTTTGTGAGTCTTATTCTCAGCAGAGTGTGGAGCATCATTATCTGATACTCAGTAAAATACCCACTGCTTATCCAAGTACACGAGACAGTAAGAAATAATAATGGCAGAGAGAGGAACGGTCTGATAACCTGGTGTATTTTTTATTTATTTATTTTTTTACACTCTAGTGTTTGTTTATTTATTTGTTATTTATGTTATTTATTTATTTTTTTAAATATCTATTTTCAGTGTGTCCAGAATAGAAAGTACTTCTGTTCTCTTCCTGCCTAAATTGTACCTTGTGTTTGAAGTGGTGAGGGCAAGTAAGTTGAAGCCACAAATAAAATCAGAGAGAATGTTTCGCAGTAGTCCTGGGAATATTATTGCTGGTAGAATAATTGCTTGTGTATTAGTGAGTGCGTTTAGTGGCTGTTAAACACCATCAGAACTTGCTTTACTGTTCCTTATCATGCCGATATGTAAAGCACTTCTGACCAGTTCCGCCTTTGTTGTTTCTGTAGTTTGTCCTGACGGAAATGTATTATGACGGTTTCCATCGCTCCTTCTGTGACGACGATGACGATCTTGATATCATTCAAGAAAGCGACTCGATTTTTGCATTTGAAACACCTGAGACTTTCAGATTAGAAAACATTCGCTCCAAAAGAGGTATTTCTTCCTCCTGTTTTGCATTTGTTTATTGAAAAGTTCTGAGATTTTGATTTAGTTGCACTTCATACCTTGAAAGGTTGTGATGAATTATTATTGATACACAAATATCCCTGTTTGGCAAGTGAACCAACTAATGCTGGCCTGAATAATTCCAGAACTTGAATATTTGTTTATGTTGATATTTGATTTGTCATTTAGAGTTCTGAAGCTTTGTCTTTTATTAACCCTTTAGACTGCAATAGAATTGTAGAACACGGTCACTTTTCATTATGTATGTTAGAGGCTTATTTATCACTGTTTTATATAAAACATTTAATCATAAACAAGGAGAAAATGGTGGTTACTTAATGATGAATGTAATATTAGGTTATAATGAAAAAAAGTTAGCTAAAGCCTGAATATAGATGCATTCTCCCCTGCGATTTCACCTTTTCTTTAAAAGATTGCCATGTTACAATGGCAAAGAATGTTTAAACAAATAAATAGCCTAATAGAAGTTCATTTGTTTGGCTGTTAAATGACAAGTGTGGAAACTAAGCATGTCTTTAGTCACTTGTTCAGCTACCACTGAGAAATGGAGACAGAGACAACAGGCTAGCTAGGTGTAGCCAATTCCTTTAAGAAATTAATGACCATAACTCTGTACAAATTTCGTAGAAGACACTAAAATACTCACCAAGTCATCAGTTCAGACCAAGACTTGGAAAATATCTAGCCGCGTTATTAAAGCACTGTTACAATTTGCAGGGAGCCTTCTTGCCAACCTTAATCAGAACAATTTGAAGTACGGCAATGAGAGCACTCGTACACCGTCTTTCATGCAAGGAGCAGTGAATCCAGCATCACCCAACAAAAATACAGGAGCCGATAAGATGATCCTGCTGATCTGTAATAGAGCCTGCACTGGCCACCAAGGACGGAGGTAACTACTCGAACACGAAACTTTGCAGTCCAGTCACAAGTCACTGATCTGTGCTATTCCCATGTTATTGTTTGGAGGTTTCATTGCCCTCTGAAGTATGAGATGGATATGACTGGGATGTCTCCAATGGATATTTTGCATGAAAATGAAAAGGGAAAATAACAGAAGAAATGTGGCAGTGATATTGTTTGAGGGAATATGTATAGAAACATCAAATACGATTGAAAAGTCAGAATTCTTCTTTCCTTTGTCTAAGGTTTGGCCTTCCGTTTGTATTGTATATGGAGCGCACTGTGACCTGGGATGTGCTTCAGAAGGCAATTCTGGAGAAGATGCATCACCTGCTGAGACAAGGGGTTTACATTCAGGTCAGTGCATGGTGCCTGTAGGCCGCAGTCTGTAAAATACAGCCCTTGATTTACTTGCGTGAGCATGTGTTGGAATATTTTCTGTGCGTTTTCATTATTAAAGACATATGCTTAGATTAAATCTGACTGATTTATTTCAGGTGGGACCTTTCAGTCTACGAGTGGTTGGAGTAGTTGGCATCACGTACTTGTTGCCTCAGGAGGAACATCCGCTGTGTCACCCCACTGTGGAAAGGTTGGTCTTTGTCTGAGCAAATTATAGCCTACCTTCTGACCCTGCTTTCTCAGTTATCTACCTAACACTGCATGCATCTGTCAGACTGATTTAGAGCACATGCATAAACTTGTTGAAATTCTCTCTGTGCATTTTTCTATTGTTCACAGTGGACACATTCAACACAGTTGGGCAGGATTTTAAAAGAGCTGTATTTTAGTTGTTCAAGCTAATCTGTCTTTTTCAGAGCGTACAAATCCTGCGGGCAAGGGGGCCCTCCTCATGTCAAGATTGTGGTGGAGTGGGACAAAGAGACTAAGGATTAGTGAGTGCAGCCTGAATAGCAATCATTTGAGCTTGCTGCTCTTTGATGTACTGTATGCTTCTAATATGTACTGAAATGCAGTCTTTGGAGGAATAGGTTCATAAATTATATCCCAAAACTGCAAAATATGGAATGAAGTTCCTTTTGTCTAAAAAGAAAGCTATTTAAAATATAACTGGAAGTCCAAATAAACTCATTTGCAGGGAAATGCTTGTGAGCTATTGATATGTTTGTAGTGTTCGAAGATGTTGTGTTATGCCTTTCCCCACAGTCTGTTTGGCCACACTGAGGAAGAGTACATCCCTGATGCTGAGAGCGTGTACCTGCACCGCGAGCAGCACCATCAGCCCCAGGCCTGTACCCTCGCTCAGTGCTTCCAGCTGTACACCAAAGAGGAACAGGTAACGAATAGGCCTAATACACCTCCTGAACGTCCTTCATTGTTCCTGGGAAAGCAGAAAAACTGATGCCTTTTCTTCCATTTCCTTAAGGCCAGATCTGCCCAAACAGACATTAAATGGTGGGTTAACCAGATTTCTGCTGTCCGTGCTGTTTTGTAAATTGCTATGTTCTCCAAGCATGTCTTTAAGCCTGGATCTGTGCCACGTGCAGTATAAATATGCCCTGTGGTAAGCCCGAGCTGGCAGTTGCCATTGGTAGCGTGGTTTGAAGCTGTTTGGTCTTAAAGAGGAACGAGGGCATAGTTGAGAGTGAGACTAAGCACTGCAAATCACATCCCTTGAGGCTGATAGAGAAGCGTGTGCATTCAGTTGTTCATGGCTGCTTCCTGTGCTGTGTGGTGCTCCAGCTGGCCCCAGATGATGCCTGGCGCTGTCCCCATTGCAAGCAGCTGCAGCAGGGCCGCATCAAGCTAAGCCTGTGGACCCTGCCTGATGTTCTCATCCTGCACCTCAAGAGGTTCAGACAGGTACAGGCTTTCTATAATGTTACTTTTAAAATTTCCTGCACACTTTAATTGTTCAGTCATTCAGAGAGGATTGATGTCTAATGGTATTTGGCGGATTGGTTAGCATGATTTTGTGGTGTTAGCAGACCTTTATTTTTGCTAGTAATATTAGCAATGTTATTATTCTGTAGGAAGGAGACAGGAGGGTGAAGATGCAGAACATGGTGCGGTTCCCACTGGTTGGCATGGACATGGCCCCTCACATGGTGAAGAGGAGCCAGAGCAGCTGGAGCCTCCCCTCTCACTGGTCCCCTTGGCGACGACCTTACGGCCTTGGCCGTAATCCGGAAGACTATCTTTATGACCTTTATGCTGTATGCAATCACCATGGCAACATGCATGGAGGGCACTACACAGGTAAAATTATGCAGGGAGACAGAGGTTGCTGTGCTGGCTTTTGGATTGTAAGTCTAAACATGCACTCCGGTGTGCAGATGGTGCAACCACTTAACTAATGGACCTGTAAAGTGTAATTCCAGTCACTCAGTGCTTAATACATTAAAAAAAAGAGTGACACATACATTGCCAGTTAGTATGATATCATTATCATTATTAGACACATTAACCATTATTAGACACATCTGAATAAACAGCCTGGAGGGTTTCCAAAACTGAGTGTGGTTCTGTTTTTCTTCCTCTCACAGCATACTGTAAGAACTCCATTGATGGACAGTGGTACTGCTTTGATGACAGTGAGGTCCAGCCCATACCTGATGAGGATGTATGCCAGCAGACAGCGTACATTCTCTTCTACCAGAGGAGGACAACTATTCCCTCGTGGTCTGCCAACAGCTCTGTGGCGGGTGAGTCACCTCACTCTGTTCTCCTGAGCTGGACGAATAGCATATGAGCTGAGTGGCTCTGACGTGTAGCTGACTTGTTTGGCGAACCAACTCAGGGATAACACTTAATCTGAGTGTAACACTCTCTAGCCTGGCTGTGGCACAAAAACAAATATTTTCCAGCTGATGACATGATAGTGATAGACTTTAATTCTGGGCCTTTGCCTTCTGAGCAATGTCATGATTTCCTAATTAGTGCAAAGTATATGGTTTCACCAAATGTATCTGCCTTTTTTGCTTCTGACTGTGGTTGCCTGTTACTTTGTTTGGGTCAGGCTCTACCAGTTCTTCTTTGTGTGAGCACTGGGTTACCCGCCTCACTGGCAGCAAGCCGCCCAGCTTGGCCTCAGGGGCCTCCTCCCGACGCACATCCCTGGCTTCTTTGGCTGAGTCTGTGGAGTTCCCGGGAGATCGCAGTGAAGACGACGGTGAGGAGCATGTTTGCGCTCTTATCTGCATGTTTGCTTATTCTATTTCTTGTATATTACATAGATATTGTGTAATTTCTGCACATGTCAGACTTTTTCCACAATGTTTCTGTGGTTTGTTTTGTGGTTACAAGTAGTAATGTAAATATTATATTTGTAGTTGATGATATTCAGGAAAAATATTAAAGCTGCACTATGTAGGATGTGTTTGTTAATATTGAAATAATTTGCATTACTGAGTCAAGAGGAAAAAAAAATTGCTAAAATATAGTGTTCATATAGTGTTGTTGCACTGCTGCGAGTCTCCCTATAAAGCCTGGAATATTCATTCAAAAGTGTGAGCTGTCAGGTCGCATTTGGGGGAAGTTTTTCAGACCATGTCAGACCTCTTTTACGTATTGACGTCACACACAGAAACAGCCAGCCAGTAACCAGCCACTGTTGTGGAATTTACTGTTACACTTTACCCATTTACTGTTACCAAAGTAATGAAGTTGTTGGCTGTATAGCTAACATTACCTCGCTAATTCACTAATATTAGCTGATTACTTTGCAAAGTTTTGCTTTAGAGTTTGTTCTACCACCTGTCTCCTTTCATAAACACAACCTATATAAAATATACTTGGCTCACATTGCCAAAATAGATATCCGACTGAATGGAGGTTTACGAAATTAATGGACGTGTGCTACTCAGCTGTTGATAGTAATGTTAGTTAGCTATCAGTTATCTGTGGTGAAGCAGGTAACATGTCTATACTTTTCCCCTCAGTTGTGAAAAAGAGCAGTTCGTGTCCACCCCTAGAAAGCCAATCTGCAATCATCAGACTGATCCGCTCTGGAAAGGGGACTACAGCACAGCCCTCATTACAAAATGTTATTTTGTTACATGTTTCCCCCAGAGAGGTCGCTAATTCCCCAAATTTGCCAAAGTTACAAAGTGCAGTTTTAAAGGGAATTAAGCAGTTAACTGTGATTAAGCTGAAGTCCCTTTGGTCCCATGCTGGTTTATTTTTTAAAAACTGGTGAAATTGTATGTGGAAGCACTGTGGAAACTGTCAAATGTGCATGAAAATTGTAAATCTTTTCATTTCTAACTCTAAATGCAACCTTGATCTTGTGTGTTCTTGGGCATTCAACAGTTGCCTCTTGATGACTCTCTTTACTTTCCCTCTCTAGCACTAACACAGGATCTGTCGCCTTGTTCAGTTAAGCCAAAAATGCATGCTGCTGCTCTTTCCATTCAGTCTAGTATCAGCGCATTAGTTTAAATCTCTGTCCTTTTCGTTAAGGAGGATTCTCCACCCGACCCTTTGTGAGGAGCATTCAACGTCAGAGCTTGTCTTCCAGATCCTCCATAGCCAGTCCACTGGCCTTCAGTGAAAATGGGACAAAGCCCTCTTGGCCACTGTCTGCCAAGCTCCAGATGAGATCCAATTCGCCCTCCCGCTTCTCCTTAGACTCCCGCTCCTCACCACCCCTGGAAAGGATCGGAGAGGCCAGTGACGACAAGGTGTCCACATCGTGCTTTGGCAGCTACAGCAGGCATGAGCGCCACCCTGGCAACAAGGCTCCACTGGCCATGATGGAGGGCAATGGCAGCGATGATGGTGGGGGTAAAAGGATTGTAGATGAGGTCTACTGCAGGGCTCCTACGCCGGCTGACAGGAAAAGCTCCAAAGGAGAGCCCCTAGACAACAACAACCAAATCTCTGCTGTTGACCAGAACTTGCATGGCACTCCTACAAAAGAGCAGAGGCACAAGAGCTCAGGACCATCTGTGACCAAGGCGGAGGGGTCTGGGACTAAAAAGAGCTCGACCAAGACAAAGGGGGATCAAGAGAAGCCCTCTAAGAAACGCCAGAGCACTTCGTCATCTGCACAGAAAGCTCCTTCTTCTCAAGCGTCTTCCAGCCCTCAAGGCAAGGGTGCCAAAGTAACAAATTTGAAAGAGAAAAGTGACTCCACTAAGACCACCAAAGGGGTTTCTTTGGGAACACCCTCCAAGAAAAAGGAGTCCTCTCAGGCTCAGGAGACCTCACCATCATCCGGAGCCGGCAAGGCAAAGCAGCGCCTGACCTCCACTCCGCAGTCCTCAGCCTCCCCATCACCGACCGCAAAGAAAAATTCCTCAGTGGCGGATAAAAGCTCCGCCTCCAGCAGGAAGAAGCCGACAGACAAGAGCTCAAGCCGTGACTCCCCTCATTCTAGCCCCCTTGCAGACAAGCCTAGGGTTAACGCCGCGCCTCGGAGTTCCCAGGCCAAGGGTGCTGAGGGAGGCCGAATAGAGAGAAGGCCTGTAAGGAGCTCCAGCAGCAGCTCGTCAGTCACCAGTCTGCGCTCCCCCAGTGTGTCCTCTAGGGACCTGCGTCGCAGCAGCAAGTCTGAGGACAAGGGCCACTCTTTCTTCAAGAGCGCCCTGAGACAAAAGGAGACCCGCCGCTCGGCCGACCTGGGCAAGACCACCATCCTCTCTAAGAAAGTGGGCGAGAGGACAGCTAGGTCCAGCAGCCAGACTAAACTGAGCACGGACGAGGGTGAAGGGAACGCCTCCCAGCAGGCCTCTCCCGCCTCGCTGTCCAGTAAGGCTGCCAGTGAAGACAAGGAGTCGTCTAAAGCCACCACCCCTGTCAAACGTTCTCTGTTACCTGTAGGCAAGTCTAAGTCTTCCAATTCTGAGATGAGTCTTCAGTCTCCTGTCAATGGGAAGAGGCCTCTTGAAAAGTTGCCCTCTTCTAGAAAGCTTTCTTCCAGCATGCAATCTTCTGCACACCCAACACAGACGCCTCAATGATATTTGAATAGCAGTTTCATTATTTTCTGTAATGCAGCTATTTTTTGATGTGCCTAAGATGAATATATATATATATATATATATATATATATATATATATATATATATATATATAAGTATATAAAGTATATATAAATGATATAGGATATACCTTTAGGATATACTTTTCTCAAAGAAAATATGTACATGATCTGAAGCGCCTTTCTATCCTGCCATGGAACCAAAATCGTTGCCTCTGGCAAGGTGTGGTATACGAATATACTACTGTTCACAACTCTGAATAGGAATGTTTTAACTTAGCACTTTGTATATATTGTTTTCTGTTTCAAACAATGCTCAACCATCAAGAGACTGTATGTAATGTATGTTTTTAACTCTGTTACTGTTTTGCTTTCTTTTGAGGAGTTGGCTTGGTCTTAATATTCCTTGGAGTACTCCCAACTAAATTGCTCCACTTGGTGCTATTCAAAGGGCAATGTTTCTCTGGCATTGTAACAGGGAGAATAGGATTCCAACCTACATTGTCATCCATCATACAAGAGGTCAGCAGTGTAAGTTCTCCTAGGCACCTATCAGAACCTGCTGAGGTACCCTGTCAGTTTTCCCTTTATACTATGGAATAGTAAGTGTTCCAGTAGCATAACTGCCCTTAGTGTACGCAGCATTGCCAACTGTAGACCAACAGCTGAATTGTGTGAATGAGAGCTCTTTTGAATTGAAATTAGACAATCCTAAATCTTTTTTTTTTTTTTTAATCGTGAAATGCTGTGTGAGAAGCTGTGCGCTTTGCTATCCATCTGTAGACAGAGGTAAAAGCAGCATAACTCTGCATGAATTTTTGTTTTTGTAATGAGAATGCACAGTTGTACTTGAACCATTTTTTTTCCATTTCTTTCCATGCCTGCCAAATCCAATGGCAACAGCTTTCATTAGCTTTAGCTTAGCGTGCATTGAACCAGGGTTGAGCCCCTTTGTGTCAGTTTGTATCTCCATATTAATCTGTGGATTATCAGTGCAATAGTTTTCAGATCTTTGTAGATGGGACAAAATATTTACTTCTGTATTCAAGAAATAGAACACGTTGAACTCGGTGTATAACATTTTGAAATGCTTTAGCGTTTTTCTCCAGTGGATTAAAGATGAATACTGTATGTATGCAATAGAAAAGAGAATCATTTAATCGAAATATATAATGAAATAATCTTTTAGAATGCTGTGCCATCCAACAAATTATGGGACCTATTTCTCCCCCCAGACCCCCCAAAGCCTTGATAGCTGGTCTAATTCAGATGGTTTATTTAAAGACATTTTAAAGATGAGCAAATGTTTTTAAAGATGATATTGCCTTGGATAGTGCTGTCAGTATGCTCACCATACCTAATAGGCTTGCCACAGAATTGAGACTTATTTGCTCTCAGGCAGCCGAGTCTGATTCTTTTAAATAAAAACAAGTCATGTCTATACAGATCAGTTTAATTTGGGCCGCATCCATATTATATTAATGCAGGATTTTCAGCATATTCTGTGCTGATGGACTTGATTTTTCCAAAAGCATTGTAGCACACAGATTATTCTAAGAGAGTACAGAGAATCAGGTGATTGTACCACTATGATGCTTTTGGGAATTGGGCGCTTGATCACATAAAAAGAACTGCTGTCTATACATAGACAAGCAGTGCAAATATAGGTTTTTCCAAAAGAACCACTGACAAGTCAAGTGGTCTTCACAAGAGCTTTGAAAGTTCTTGTAAATTTCACCCTCATCTATCAGTACTTTTTTTTTCTTCCTTTTCTTTTCCCCAAAATAGGTACTGACACCTACCCTTTTGGAAAAGTCCTATCAGTACCAGTTACTTTATTAACAGAGCTGGCCAAAGCAGAATAAGACTGACTAATAGTTAGATGACTAATTTTCTCAGGTTGCCAGCATGCACATTTTAAAACGCCTCCCCTGCATTTTACTTTTCTTCTTGGTACCCTAAAAGTCAAAGCTTTGGTACTGTGATTTTAGTCTGCAACTTTAGTTTCATGCTTTTGATGGGAAATTTAGTTCCTTCTCTCACTCTAAAAAATAAAATGAATACCTAATATGAGTATTATTGTGCCACAAAGGCCTGATGCCAATATGATGTACCAAGTGGTACTATTGGTGCACTTCCCTGAATATTAAGAGAATAGTCTAACTGTGTGTGTAGCTTTGTTTTGCAAGGGGACCATTTTTATGTGCGCCCAGAAACTACAGTTTGAAGAATTACGGCAAGCAGTATTGCATGATGACACTGATGCATGCACGTATCTATGCAAGCGAATGTTGCTGAGAAAAATTAAGTCTGGTTGCCAATATTTCTGTATTTCTGAACGTCAGCAGTGGAAAGCATGGATTGTTTCCTCTTGTTGCTTTTTTTGCACACTTGTGTTGTAGCTTTCTTTTGTTTCTTAAAAGATTGTAATGGAAGAGCATTAGATATTAGCCCATTGGATACCTGAAAAGCCTCATGACGAATGGCTATGCTGTATCTTTTTGTTCTTTTCCAGTACTTTTTGACTCATAAGCTTTTAAAGGGAATTTTCTCCCTTTATTCCGTAAGGACTTTTTATTTCATAGGTTTATAACCTGAAGTCCTGTTGACTTCACCTTTTGGTTGGGATCTTGTTCTCTTGTCATGCTCACACATTAAATACAGGAGCAGGAGCATTCTAACTTCATTCCTTCACTCTAAAAGTCATGACGACTTCCATCAGTCATTTTGTCTCGTCAGCCACACCATTATTTTTGTTGTGCTAATTACAAAGCCCCATGTCATAAGTTATTTCCAATATTCAGCATATGGCAGCATATCGAGAAAGCCACACGTGGTGGTTGTTCCACTTCAGGAGAGTGCTTTGGGCCTTTGTACTTCAAGAAGTCTTGAAAATTTCAGATTGTATGTATATGGGACATTTGAAATATCTCAAGTGCAAATAACAGGGTTGTAAGCCTTAGGTTTGAACAGATTCATTAATTGCTCTAAGTCTTATGAATATTATTGTATGAAGTTCCTACTCCTGGTTTACACACTGGACTTGAATGATTTTACCACAGGAAAAAGCCCCAAGCACCGTCCTCACGTACTTTACACTACTTAAGCTGGTGCTCATTTGGCTGTGAGTAACTTGGGCTTTTCTTTTCCAAATAGAGCGTGTACAGTAGTCTTAAATATTGACCAAAATATTATAATATTTGGAAACATACCATGTTAATGTTTTGTTGCATGAGACTGCATCAATGGCTTTGTTAATTTATTTGTACGTTTTGTTAAATGTGTATGCACTTTTCATAAACTTGTTTTTATTTTATTTTTTTTAAAGAATGCATTTCTTTGAGAGAACCATTTATATTCATGACATTGGTTCACCAATGTAAGACAGAAGTTGAGATGTAATTAAAAGATAGACCTGCATTAGAGGTCTGAGCTCAGATTTGTCTGTGCCTGGAGACTTACTGGCTTTTCATCTTAATTTTGCTCTGCAGGGTGTACACATGCTCAGATATAGTTGTATGCAAAGGTTTGGGAACCCCTGCCCAGATGACATGCTCTGTTGATTTCCCATATGCCCTATTTAAATGAACGTTAACATATTTTCACTTCACAGTCGACCCTAAAGCCCATCTGTTGCCATGCACAGTTTGTGTTGGCCTCCTTCTAACCCTTCTTCAGTGGTCAGTTTCTGACCACAAAGCTGTGCTTGGTTGGATATTTTTGGGTGGTGGACAACTCTTAACCTAGCTGTGACACTGACTTAAAAAAAAAAATAAATACAACTCTGCTGTGCCTGTTATACTAGCGCCACATACAGTACTGTGTTACTACAATTTCAATGTCACTGCTACGTTCAGAATAACCCTAATAATATCTAGTCAGCAGATGTGTGGTCAGAAACTGGCCACTGATGAATAGAGTAGGGGGTATATTAACAAATTGTTGGGTAGACGTAAAAAAGTAGCTTATGAGTGGAATTACAAGGTAGATGTTTCTAATAAAGTGGATGGTTAAGTGTTACTTTACCAGTGACTTCCACCGCACACTTGGAATAAGAAGCAAACTGTATTAGCTAATGTTGACCACTAGGTGGCGCGTCTTGCCCGTTTTATTTCAGACCCCTCACAGTATGAAAGTGTTTGCTTCGTCAACATGTTATCTATCTGTCTATCTAAAAACTGATGTGGGGCTCAGACATCATCTCCATTTTTAATGAATTTTCATAAATCTTTTTTATTGTGCATTTCAGGTAATATCAAACAAACTGCAGCTGGGTTTTGATTAAGAAGAAATAACAAAATACAGATAATTTACAGTTATTCTTTTTTTTTGGTAAGCAGATAACTCCAATGGTCATATATGTTTGAGTTAAAGCCATTTAGTAGATACAAGTTTTTTTAAGTGCAACGTTTAACATTCTTCAGCGTAAAACAAATATGTAAAGTGCTGAAAATGCAACAAGAACAGGCCATTAGTGGTCAATGTTAAACATCTTTAAGATCAGACCTCGGAAAATCCTCAAATGACTCACTGCTCCTATATAGTGTGCTGTGTGAGTTATGAAATGTTGGCTTTAACAAATATTGCGCTTTATGTCCAGTATGGAGTTGTGTACACACGGCTGAATCCAGAGTGGATCTGCGTTAGACACACAGTGGACTGTTAGATGCAGTCGTCTGACCTGAACACTGCGCGCTGATTGGCTGACCGGATTTCTCGGGTTCTGCTCGATAACAGGGCTGGCGCTTGACATTTTTGCGCTGTAAAATGCGAACTTGACAGTGGACAATAAGGGACTTTGTGACAAAATGTATTTAGGGGTCAGAATGCGCTGTGTGTTAAAAATAACTCTCCTTAATCAGCTCGCTTTTTAAATGATGGCCTTAATCGTTTGTTACAAATTAACTCTAAGTTGAAGTAATAGAGATTCCTCCTGAAACACGATTTGAAGCGCTGACAACAAGCAGAAAGCTTAATTTTCATTTGGCTACTAAATAGCACTGCAACGCCGACTTTACAAGCATTTTCCA